ATGCATAAAAAGAAGAAAACAGTTCTGCTTTTATCCCAGTCTACTCAGAGGGATTCAGTTGCACATGTAGAACTATTCAAAACAGTTGTCAAGATAATTTCTTCTGGCCAGGAGATCACCATGGCCATAACATTCAGAAGTGCTTTGCAGTGGGTTATGGACAAGGTTTCTCAGTAAAAGTGTATTAAGCACTAGTTGTATTGTTTTTGTATCTTTTAGTACAGACTAATTGGAATATGAAAGCTTTTAAGTAACAGCCAAGAGTGGTTAATGTTCCACCAGATTATTAACTTGTACAGACTACTAATCAAAGATGAAACAAATGAAATTGCAAATTATATGTAACAGACCTGAGGGACAGATCTTAGCACAGAGCTCAGGAATGCAATTCAACTCAACAGGAATACATTGTCTAAAAAGATTTAAAAAAAAATCTTGGGCTTAGTGACTCATATAAGAGTCATTCATTAGTACTCTATAATTTCATCTTCAGCTACAATTACACTGTTTCAGCTGCTTCCCATGAATAGAGACTTGCTTTCCTATCTCTCAGGTGCCATTCTGGAAGTTTCTTTTCAGATTGGACCCCTCTTCATCATTGTCATTCTGAAACATTTACCACCAGTGCTTATCTTCTGAAAGGATAGGAATGTATTACATTCGTCATGCTTCTTATCTAAATATAATCTTCTGTATCACATAAACCACCAAAATTTGAGGGAGACTTCATTCTCACCCTTCAGTGTTTTGTTGGGAGATTTCTTTACATTGGCAAGAGCTCAGTTATTGGGGGAGATTAATTTAATCAGCAGCCCATTCTCCAAGTGCATAAGCAAGATCATTTCTCGGGCACTGGTGAACTGGCTCTATGTTTAGTTCAAAGAGCTAATCTTGCTTTAAATACTTCTTCAGAGGAAACATGTTAAACATGAGCATCTCCTCCATTACAGTCAGTTTCTCAGCAATGCTTCTGTGCAGCCTTTTCCACAAGTCACTTCTCCCCTGGCTGTTGCTTGTTCTCACTCACTTGGACCGAGCACATTTCTCTTTTCCCTGCTACACCCAAAGCCAAACAGAAGACTATTCAAACCTAGTTAGCTATTAAAGAGCCATTAGTTAATTGGCACTGATAGGGACTTCAGACTTTGGTTGATTAGGTCCATGAGTTCACTGTGCAGAGACAAAAGGCCTCCAGGGAAGTTTAAACAAGGGTGTGGGTTTTTCTGTTTAATTTTACCTTCTTAACTTAATATTGCTCTCTGTCATTCAATATTATATTATTTCCATATCAAGGAAGGAGATGGGAAACATCTTACTGGTGACAAGGAGGGGAGTGAACATATTCCCTCCTCATGAAATAGTTAAGACTGCCTTAAGCTCAAAGGTGCTTCTTTATGCCTGAGTGCTCAAAGGGCAGATGTTAAGCCTTCCTAGTAGGAAGACAGGCAATAGGAAACTGTCTTCTTTTTAAAGGATTAACTACTAAGTTGAAGGATGATCCAGTCCTTCCTCCTCTCTCCCCTCCTGCTGGTGTTTGTACAGCTGACAGCAACGAGAGCGGGCGGGTGGGAGCAGAAGGATGAGGTTACCTGTACTACTTCTTTGACCAGAGTCTTGTCAGTCCCAGTTTTGGCTCTCTGCAGGCCACTGACATCCTCTCCAATCCAGGTGATGAGGGCAAACTTGACTCGCTTGCTCATGGCATCGCCGGTGGTGAATCGGACAAAGCCAAACAATCGGACATCATCTGCAGAGACAGAAGGGATAAAATGGTTAAACCCAGAAACTCCCCTGCCTTACCACTTTCCAGAGTGAGACTATTGCTCTCAAAGACCAAGGCAAGGCACTGATCCCATGTTACACTGCCAGCATTTGGGGTTAACAGGGTGCTCTGCTCATATGGCCTTTGCTTATAAGGTGTGCTTTGCCTGAGTTAGGTCTGCCTCTTCCTGGGCTGCTCTGAGTTACTGGGAGGAAACCGCCTGTGCTGGGCACCTCACCTCACATTATTTTGCTGCTAGTGAGTCTGGAAATGGCTAAAATACAGTCAGCAGGCGGGTCAAGAACACAGAGCTAACCCCAGTTCCACATTCAGACACATCATTCATCTGCAGGTCACTGGTCAAGAAGGGAAGAAAGTAATTTCCCACTGTCTGTTTCTTACAGGATAGCAGGATTAGGGTCACATTTTATGACATTACCCAGAAACTGCCCATTGTGCAAATCTGATCCTTTCCCCTCCTTCCCTTCAGCAACATTTCTGGCTCACTTGTAGTATAAGTTTAAAAGAAGGAGGGAAGAAGAAGGAGCAAAAGAAAAATTCTGCAATTACTTTCCCAGATGTGTTTTTCTACTCCTTCTGAAGGCCTGGAGAGAAAAGTATTGGATTTTAGAACTGTCCTGGTCTTTGTTTCACGGCTGGTTTATCCTGTATCATGCCAGACTGGAGTTATTTAGCCTGGTCATATGTGTGAAAATGTTGTAAACTCTCATCTCGAGGTGTTCCTTCCTCCATTGCAGGGTGATCCAACAACAGGGGCAGTTGGGCACCTTCATGATCACAGGGCCAGCTTTGGAGCCATGTGGGATTTGGAGCCTTCCACCAGGATTGGGCAGAAAGCTGAGCAGATGGGCAGTTGTGCAATCATGGAATATACCTAATCATGGCTTCTTCATCTGCTAGAGGTCACTCAAGGCCTTTTAAATGAGATGACTCAGAACAGAAGAACAAACGTGCTGTTTGAGAATCATGTTAATCCTGGTTGCACTTGTTGTGACCAGTTCAAAGTGCTTTATAGTGAGTTGCTGTCTTGACTATTTGCCAGGTGAAAATCAGGCTCCAGGTGTAACAATGACTGCCAACATCCCATCCTTGATCCATTACAACACGCTCCATGAATGCTCAGGACAGCCCCAGGAGCTCTGGGAATAGGGGAGAAGCAGCTTTTAATTGCTCATCCCCAGAAAATAAGCTGCTAGAGGTCAAAGCAAAAAAAAAAAAAAATAAAAGGGGTGATATTCTTTGCAAGCTGACGTATTTCAGAGCTTCTTTAACACTTTGATTTGCCAAGGTCTGAGTAAAGAGAAATTCCTCCGATAAAAGAGAACACTTCTATAAGTCTGAAAAAATCCACCCATTCTCTCTTTATTTTCTTCTCTCTGTACCTTTTTTTTGCCACTGACAGAGGAATATTAGGAAAACTGGAAAATGGGTGTAGGGGTATGTGTGAGCCAGTACAGTGTTTAAAACGAGCTTCTCTGAAGATTTCAAAGTAGAAACAAAGAGAAAGAAAGATCTTATTCAAAGGAAAAATCCAGATAGATCTTTGGAAGGAGAGAAAGAAACATGTATTGACAGTGCAGGCAAACAAACTTCTCTCTCAATTACCCTGTTACTGGTGAGTACAAGAAAGGCACGTAGAGACTCCTGTTTCTGACAGCAAATCCTCTTCCCAAGATTGATTAGAACCATAAATGAACCGACAGCCAGGAAATACCCAAGGTGAAGTGAGACAGTAAATCCCCTAACGTTACAATTAACAGCTCCATGAGAAAGCCTTGCTTTCCAGGGCTGACAGTAAAGGAGGCCACACTCTGCTCATTGTTCTGTGGCTCCTATGGGAACACAGTGCTGGAAGGCACTTTAATGTCATCAAGTCCTGGCCTCTACTACACTGTGATGGTGTCACAGCCCTAACCACGGACCCCTCACTTTCCACCTCAACTCTGTAGAGTTTTCATCCCTGCCCCTCCCACCACAGGCTGTTACAGAGCCTGAAGACTGGACTATGCCTCTTTATAAAAAAGATAATGGAAAAACATAGTGAATGTGAAAAAACAGTGCTTTTTCATAGCAGCACTGAAAGGAAGTTCCAGGGATGCCCCATCCCTGGAAGTGTTCAAGGTCAGGCTGGACGGGGCTTGGAGCAACCTGGCCTAGTGGAAGGTTTCCTACCCATGGCAGGGGGTTGGAACTGGATGAGCTTTAAGGCCCCTTCCAACCCCAACGCTTCTGTGATTCTATGATTCTGTGAATTTATCAGCATAACTTCAGTTGGACATGAACACACAGCTCACTGGCAGCAGCAGGATTTGCTTCTCAGCAGAAGAGTTTCAGTGCTTTCCCATCCTGCCTGAAAGCAGCTCGATCCGTGACACCAAAGAGAGCCAAGCCCAGCAATTCCAGCTTTTATCCATTAGATAACCTGCTCCTCGGTGAGTATGAGCAACTCTTACTTCACCATGTTCAGTCCCAGTAAGTTCAGTGAGCACCTGGGGTTGGACGTGGGGCTCTGAGTCACCATTGTGGTGAATTTACCTGGGGCTGGTTCCCTTGTAGGGGCTTGAAGGGTTCCACCCAAGCTGGGTGCTGCCTCCTCCTGTGTCCTCATGGGGGTTTTATCCCCACCAGAACAGCATCTTCAGCTGCCACAACTTTCAGTCCAGCGTATTTAGTACAAACCACCAAAATGCGATGCTTTAACTTGACATGCCAGTGTGTGAATTGTGGCAGCTGAGGAGCCTTTCAGATGAAGCTGAGAGGGAATGTGAATTGGAGCCCTCAGCAATTAGCATGTCTATATTCCTAAAAGGGCATCAGGGACAGATGTAGAGGTTTTTAGCACTAGCTCAGCCTGGGTATAAGCCTCTCCAACTGCAGGTCGAAATCCCTGAGCAGAAGTGGTTGAGTTTCACAATTAGTCTGAAGCGTGTTCAGAGTGATAAGGGGATCAAAATGCAAGTTCTTTCATACTCCCAGATTTCCTCTTTCACAGTTAATCAGTTCCACCCTGCCAGATCACCTCACCACGCTGGAAGCCATCAATGCCACCAGTGCCAGTTCCCTGAGAAATCTCAAGGTATAAACATGCACCACCCCCTTTCTCACACAGAACCACTTACAGGGGTTTTAGGAATTTGTTGGCTGTGAGGGAGAGCATAACAAATCATAGAGAGACAGTGTAGATTTCCTCTGAAAGAGGAAATCCTGCCTAGAGCTGTGCAACCCCCTTCCTAGTCACTGAGCCATGAATTTCAGGGCAGAGAGAAGCAAAAAACAGATCTGGGTAGAACGGAAATAGCAGCTTTATTTGAGAAAATCTCACAAGTTACAAACAGCAGAAATGAACAGTGTCAGTTCCATTAATACCACTACTCCCTTTACTATGGCTGGACAGCAACAGGGCTCTACAAACAGTGAGGAGCAAAATTATTGTCTTAATGAGCATCAGTTGATATTACTTTCCAAACTCCTTATTTATCACTAGGCAGAATTTTCCAAATATTCTGATTAAGATGCCCTTGGCTGTCAACAAAGCTTGATGCCAAGCTGCAGATGTTTCCTTGATGGTGTTCTTTTTTTCCATCCACTCGAGCCCTTTGGTTTAGCTGTCCTGAAAAATTCCCCATTAGATTAAAATGCACTGACTCATCAGTAAAAGATAATAGCTGCAGGAAAGAAATACACTGTCAAATTGTCGTGGTCTTATCTTAGGGCTCTGAATGGTCTGAGATGTGCCAGGATAAAACCACTGCTCCCAGCTTCAGCTGCCTGCTGGATCAAGGTCAAATACAGCAAGGCAGGTGATGGAGTGATCTGCTTTTGTGTTTTGTCCAACAATGAATTACTGATAGCACATGGCAGGTTTCATGAGGATTTATTTTGTTTGTTTCAACTGGATTAATTTTAGATTAATTAGTCAATTTTCCTACCTCTTCAGTCACCCCTGTAGCCCCATGGCTAGAAATACAGACAGAAAACTTCCCTACCTCTTACTACACTGGTTTTTTTCTCTCTTAAACCCTGAGCTGAAGCCCATATATCTCCTGCAGTGCTGCCTTGCTCCATGATGACATGTTCATTAAGTCATCTGACGAGTTTGACCCCAGGACCATGATCACAGGGCTTGCTGTGGCTGTGGCACCAAACCTTCTCCATGGAACTCAGGGTGGCTGACGTGAGTACAGGGACACAAATGAAGGGGGAGGATGACCCCACACTGACTTCTCTGGCTTTCTCTGCTCCAGTGAATCCACCAGCAGCATTTCATCAGAATGAGTTGCTGCTACCCCAGTGACAGTGGCCCTGTTGTCTCTCTGTCCTGACCTGGGAGAGCAGAGTGGGAGCAAACAGGGGATCCAGCACATCTTTGTTCTCCTTCTCTTAAGGAAGGAATGATTGTGTTTGTTGGCCAGAATTAAGGGCCAGGCAGGCCCCACAACAAGGGGCAGGTATAAGGTACAACCCTCTTCTTTACCTGCTCCCATCCCAGCAGGATGGTAAAGGCAGATCCACAGCAATGCCATTTTAATTAAGCATCACAAACCTGAAGGCAGAGAGTTACTGTCTCAGAGCAGAACTCGACCTGAGGAGTTACTCCCACAGAGATCAATAAGAATATTGCCTAAAACCACCTCCTGTCCATAAGCAAGGGACAGTCTCAGCTGGCAGCCAGGAGATCACTGTGACCCTGCCAAGAGCAGGGAGGGCACAGGGGCAGGACAAGGCTGCAGCCACAGCATGAAATTCCCATAAGCCACCCATGGCCCCAGGTCTTCCTTTAAATAGCCTTTTAAGGGAAAGCAGGAGAGATGAACATTTAAGAGGAAAATTAAAAGCAGTAGGAGACTGATTTACAAGGCCCATTTTAGCAACTTAAGATGCAGCCAAATGCAGATAAGCACCTATCTCATTATAGGTCCTCGTGTGTTTTTACAAATCTTTCCTACAACCTCAGGTGCCAATGGAACCTTGGTGATCTCTCAACTCTTAGCTCCTAAATTTTTATATGCAGGCCAAGCTTTATGGGACAATTGATCTAAGCCTAAAAGTACTGTATTAGGAGCCGACTCTATTTCCTAATATTTTATGTCAACCCCAAATGATTTTATAGGGTATTTATTTCAGACCAAAGATTTTCAGTTCTTCCTCCTGCTGAATGCACAGTGTGGTTTTGGCCTGATCTTTTCAGACACATGAATAACTATCCCATTTCATGCTGTCATTGCAATTATTTATCTGGACTGGGGCTTTCCAAATAAAAGGCTCATTATTTCTTTTGTCAGAGATGCATTGAAAACAGCTGTTCACATATGGCATGGGATGGGGTGTGGGGGGGAAATACAGTCTTCCAACCTCTCTGTTGCTTAATGGCAGAACACACATCCAAAAAAAATGAAAGTAAACCACAGGCAGAGACGATGCTCTGCTGCTTCCTAATACAGACACTGAGGCAACTGTCCAGGGCACTCAGGTACTACTGACACACACACAAGTTTCACAGGATGTCATTTCAGTTGTTAAGTCATTCTACTCTTCTCAGCAACAGCATTACCAGCCGAGTTATAAGACTTTGAAATTAAGAACAGCAACACAAAACTTTCACATCCTTCCATACAGTAACCTTCAACTCTTATCTGTGTTTCTGGCTTCATATCCACCAGCTCAGCTCTGGTGTTTTTTTCAAAGTGTACTGATGGCACGTACTACAAACCACCAAATTAATGCTGTGTCTGGATCCACGCCATCTGCAGAGGCAAGAGCTGTAACTGGGAAGTAAAATGGCTCAGAAGCCTTGAATTAAGTCTTTGTTTAATGCAGAGGTAATCTGTGCTGTTAAGCCCAACCGAAACAGTCCTTAGCCACAAGACACAGGAGGTGTCTGCACTGAGTGTTTAGTAACCCTGACACAATGAATGTCCTCGACTTTTATCTCCAGACTCTTTGGATCAGACAAACACAGTCACATTGGTTGGTCATTAGTCAGGATTGCAAGAGGAAGAACCACCAGCAGCCACCTCCTACTCATAGCAGGATGTGCCAACCTCCTTGACTTTACTTTGGGCTAGACTGGAGGAGAGGTGTGCACACATTTGGGGGTGATCTTTGGAGGACAGAGGAGACACTGCCTGACACTAAAGCAGAGTCTACTTCCTTCCAGCCAGTGTTTGTGTCGTGACTGACACAGGCCTTGACAGCAACAGCATGACAGCGACTGACACACAGAAGTCCAGGCATCACCCTGGGACCCTGAACAAAAGGGCACTGAAGAAGATTTTCTTTCCAGGTTTCCTTTCTGTAAGAGGGGCTACTGCTGTCCCCAAACAGGAGGATAGGAAAAGGATGATAGTTTGATGATGCAGTTTGTTAAACTTCTCTGCTAGAACACAAAGCTTAGTAAAGAGTTTAGAAACAAAAAGCCTCCACCCCAGGATATGTGACGTGTAGGTCTGATGTGCAACACGTATCTAAGAGTAGAGCAGTGGAACAATGAAACCCACAGCAGGCACACCTGGTGCAGCAGCAGTTCCTGGCTCAGGGCATGGCCTCACCACCCCAGGAGCTCAGCACCTCTCTGTGTGTTCCTCCAGCAGCAGCCACAGAGTGTGGCTGGAGGTGTGCAGGGCTGGAGGTGTGCAGAGCTGGTCCCTAACAGGGCCTCTTTGAACTGCTACTTTAAAAGAAGCAATTTCAGTTTCTTGCTTTTCCCTTTGTCCTCAACACTCTTGTTCTCCGAGGAGGTTTGCAGAATCAGCAATGGGCTGGGCATGGTCTGTATGAAAAGGGTTATGGACGAGGGGGAGGAAAAGCAAAAATACAACCCTGCTACCAGCAGCCCCCTCCAGCCCTCCCTAACCCCTGCCACTGCACAGGGCAGGACATCCACCACAGGCAAATGTTTCCCAGAGTGGTACAAAAGCCCTTCTTGGTCTCAGAGCCACACGAATTAGCACACAGTGACCCCGTCTGCACCATCACTCAGTGCGCTGGAGGGCAGCAATGTGTACGAAGGTGCTTTTAATGAGAATGGTTATTAAAGAAAGCAGGGGACTCAGATGTTTGCAGCTCAGAACGACACTGAAGTAGCTGGTTCAGAAAGCAGAACACAGCAAGCTCTGACGGTGACTCTTTGCACACTGAGGTTTTCAATCCCAGCTCCAGCTCCCACCTTCAACCACCAAATTGTGCTCAGCTTCTACCACAGGCAGCTGCAGCACTTTGTGGCTTTCAGGGCAGTGGTTTTTATAAAACAAGAAAGTTTATTCTGATAACAGTTTTTTAATCTTTTAATCACATTTTCTGAAGCTGTTTGCTTTGATAGCAGCTCTTCTCCCCTCCAGCAAAATGTAAGAGACCAGGAGGGAAGAGACGTAGCAATAGGAAGGAATAATATTTAGCAGCTCTTCCCATCCCTCCCTACTCTTCTCTACTGACTTTGTTTCAGTAGAAATACTCTAACCAACTCTACTTCATGGCAACATTTGGCAAAGCTGCAACTTCACTGCTGGCACAAGGCTTGATTTCTGACTCTGTCTAGCAGGCCAGGTGAAGGTTTGCTGCACAGATGGAGGCTCCAAAACTTCCATCTCCTCCTTCCCCAACTGCTGCACTGTAATTCGTGGGTGGAGGAAGATCCTTTCCAGCTCTCAGGCAAGGACCAGGTGCCTGAATTTGCCTCACTCCTTAAGCCTCCAACAACTGTGCTGCAGAGTTAGGTCTGAGGACAACCTCTTGGCCCTGGTCTGCCAAGGAACAGCCCTCCAGCTGCGTGCTAAGGGAGAGGGAAAGAAGGAACAGGGAAAGGGAGCAGTGGAGCAACTATAAGGGATTTAGCTCCCCATTAAAGGCTAACAATAGGCCACAGCCTACCCCACAGTGCCGCTTCCCTTACCATGCTTATTTATAAAATATACAAAACTTCCTTTTTTTTTTTCTGTAAAAATGCCTCAGTACTGGGGCCAGTTTGGCACTTTGCTGGTGTAAAACAAGATTTCCTTAAGCTCTGTCTGTTTGAATACCCTGTTTATAAATACAGGTTTGGCACATGCCAGCCATGGCAAGGACACAAAACTGGCCAAACTCCCAAGTGCAATATGTGCCTCCATTAGTTGTCATCCCACCCAGCCCAAACGGTGCCTGTGCTCTGCCAAAGCCCCTCTGCCTGCTCAGCCACTCGCTAAATGGATTCTCTTTGCTACAAAAGGGAGGAGAGGAAGTTCTTGAGGGGGTGCCACCCAGACAAAATGTTAAAAATCAACTCAGACAAAAGAAAGACACGGACTCTGTAAAGGCAGGAAGAGAGAATACATGGGGAAGGCTCCTCTCTCCTCTGCAAGACTCAGATGTCTGGAGATGTTGGAGATGCTCAGTTGTGTTGGCCACAAGAGGAGACAGAGAACGTGGGGCTCAGATACTGAAGTCATTGACCTCCCAAGGAAACTACTAACCACTGGCATGAACTTCCAAAGTGCTGAGCCCTGGGCTTCCCCATGTGTCAGGTAATTGCTTTTTCCCTTCTCCTGCTCATGAAGAAGAGTTGAGTGGGAAGGAGTTTCTTCACTGCAGGGTATCAGCTCCTCTGACATCAAGATCTTTCTCAGTTTTGAGAGTTTTCCCTGCAAAGCTCTCCAGAACAGCTGGAATGGAGTGGCTGTGTTAATCCCAATAAGACCCCACTGCCAAGGTCGTAGCAGAGCAGTCTAAACTATCTTGATTCATGGCTGCTTTCCAAGGACTAAAATGTACTTTTCTCCTATGATATTTATTGACTGATCAGACCAGTCCCGCCCTCAGTTAAGTTCCTGGAAGTTCTCTCCTTCAGCTCAATAAAGCACAGCCAAGCCCTGGGACTCAGACCAATGCACAGGCACTGGTGTTTCCACAGCTATGGGACTGATTAAGGTGTCCCCAGAAAGGCAGAGACTGCTCAACACACAATTCCTTCACTGCACAGTCACATCATCCTAAAAATACAGGTTAACCACAATACTTGATTGTAGAGTAACAGGGTGAGTGAGGAAGGCTTAAGTATAGCTCAGTACTAGTTACAGACACTTCATATCTCACATCACTTGGTGTCATTGTTAAATAGCAGCCAAGATAGGAGGAAATTCGAGATAAAAATCAAAACCCACTTTTGTGAAACTCATCAAATGTCACGATCAGATGAAATTAAATATTCATCTACTTCTGTTTTCCCCAGGCGTTGTTCCTCCCTTTAATGTTCTACGACCAACAGTTCAACAATCAACTGCCACGTTTAAACCTGGAGCCGCAACAGTTGCGGTTGTGCAACGCCACATCTACGATTGTTTCCAGGGCTGGACTGTTGGAGCCGATCTTTGCAATACCCACCCTCTTCTCAGGTTTCATGAACTCAAAAACTCCGAGCAAACCTTCTACCTGCAGTTACTTTAGCTCTATGAATTTCAGAAGAATTTCGGGAGAATTTAATTCCCAATGATCTGTGTGACAGCATCTTTGTAGCCACAAAACCAGTCGGTTTTGCTCTGAAACTGCAGTGTCAAACACGGAGACCGTTGCTTATCGAGTGTTTTATCTTGCTGATAACCAAGAAGCAATGAAACATTGTGCAAAGAGGGGGGGAAAAAGCCCAAAGGACCTTAAGTCTAAGGGTGAGACAAAGGACCGGCTGGATTATGGACTAGAGGGAGTTGCACTCTGTGGGGAAACCCGTTCGCGCAGGACAGGGCAGGCACGGGGAAGCAGAAGCACTAATTCCAGTTTGCCCAAGTTTTCTCCCATCCTTTCCCCCCTCGCACCGGGCAGCACGAAGGACGGTCATGGCCAAAGCAATGGATACGGAGCTTACCTGTGCACTTCCTTTTAAAGGTTTCATAGTCTACCCCTTGGTCTCCGGGGACGATTGTAGAGCCGTTGTACTTAAACGTCACCCTTTGAGAAGGCAAAAGAGAAGGGGAATAATACAGTTAAAAGTCACCTTTTATGAGATGGGGGAAAGGGAAGGGGAATAGCACATTTAAAAGTCTCCCTTCGGAAGGGGGGAAGGGAAGGCGAATAATACATTTAACAGTCAGCCTTCAGGAAGGGAAAAGAGGAGATGGGGAAGAATACACTGTAAAAACACTTCATCCTTTAGGAAGAGGGGAGAGAAGAAGGGGGAAAGGTCACCCTTTGGGGAGCGGGGAGGGAAGACGAGGAATCGCAGCGCACCGGTGCCTGTCCGGGGGGACGCCGGGGGGGGCCACCTACCAGTTCACCTCGGTGGCATCGTCCCTGACGAGGTTGTACGCCTCCCTGCACGCCTCCTTGTCGATTTTGGTGGCCATGGAGGCGAAGGGGAAGGGAGGGGGAGCGCGGAGCGGCCGCGGAGTTGGGGGACCGCCGCCGCCGCTGCAGCCTCACCGCGCAGAGCCGAGCCGAGCAGAGCCGCGCCGAGCCGAGCCGAGCCCAGCCGAGCCGAGCCCCGCTCCCGAGGCCGTCCCGCCTCCGCCGCCGCCGCCGCCAATGGCTCGGCTGGTCCTGCCCCTGCCCCCCCAGCCCCGCCCGGCCCGGCCCGGCCCCGGCGCGGGGGGATCGCGGTGATGCAATAGAGCCCGGGCACGGGGGGCGCCGCCGGAGGGGCCCGACCCGCCGCAGGGATGCCTTTTGCGGCCGCCGCCGGTTTTCCAGCCCCCCGATGCTTTCCCAGCCCCTGACGGACGTGGGGAGGAAGGAGGCAGAGGCGGCGCCCGGGATGGAGCAGCCGCCGGCGGCGGAGCCGGGCCGGGCGCTCGGGAGGTAGCGCAGAGCGGGGCAGGTGAGCGGGGGGCGAGGAGGCGGCGGGCGGGGGCGGCTCCGGGCCGGGGCTGCGCGATGGGGGCCGCGCCGGGGCCGCGAAACAGCGGGGACCGCCGGGCCGAGCGTCCCGAGCATCCCGAGCATCCCCGCACCGCCGCGGGGGAGCGGGGAACAGCCCCGGCTCCGTCCCTGCGGGTGTCCCCGGCCTCGAACGGGGTCTACGGGGGTGACTCGGCGTGGGGACACCCCGCTGCCGGGTCAGGGGTGTGCGCGGGCGCTGGGTCTGTGTGTCTGTGTGTGTATCTGTGTGTGTCGGTGTTCATGTCTGTGTGTGTGTCAGTGTGTCCATGTCTCTGTGTGTCAGTGTGTTCAGCCCGTTTCAATGCAGCGATCTCCCCCTGCCGGGCTCCCGGCGCTGCCCATGAATATTCCCCAATCTCCCCGAGTCACTGCGCTCCTGGGAAATGCGGGCTGTCAGGCAGAAGCGTTGCCTTAAGGCTGCGCTTCAGTCCCGCAGAAATAGAGACAGGGCTTTGCTTTGCTGAACCCGGCTGGAAATAAACATCACCAGATGACGTTGTGCCCAAGGACCGGAGTTTTACAAACCAGCCCTTGGGCGTGTTAGTGGGTTTCTAACCCTAAACCTGGGGGTCTGGATTTGCAAATTTAATAAAAACTACATTCCATGATTAAAAAAGCATCGCATTTTGTTTCTCTTAAAGTTTGCAGGGGATGTTCATTGTTTATTTCACATCAGCATTTTCAATGTGAAGGCTGAGCAGTGAGAAACCTCATTACCACACAATTACTGATTGTTGTCAGACATCTCAGGGGACAAGATCTCCAGAGCAGGCACTGACTGTCAGAGACACCCTTTAGTGCCACAGTCCTGCACGCAGTTTCTTCCAGCTCCATTCCAGCCCCTGGATGACGTGAGGCTCCTGGAGCACCGGGGCCAAAACACATGAATTGCTGCAGTGCCTCTCTGATGTGGATGAGGTCATAGGGAAGAGAGAAATATCTCTGAAGTCAGTACAAGTGTAGGACACTGGGTGAATCACACTCAGTATCTGTAGGCTGCAGGCTCTAGATGATAATATAATCCCACATTAATAGTTCTGAATTTATATTGATCTTCTTTTGGAATTGTTTTTAGGAACACTTTCATTTTTTTAAAAGCCTTTATGCTGGCTATTATCTGCTCCTAAACATGTTTTTTGTAGTCTGCATTTATCATCCATTGGCACTTGCTGCTGTTTATACCTGTAACTGCTGCTGGTTGTCCTTGTTCCCTTCAGGCTTGATCCTCAGCTCCTGATGTTTCCTAGAGCAGAGGTGGATGACTCCAATGTCATTCCCCTGAGGAGGAGAAAACCTCACCCTCGTGTAGGTCTCTGTGACCCAGTGACTGGAGCATTTGAATTCCCTTCACTGGGGACTTTGTGCCTCACACTTTTCAGTGCCAGACTCAAACCTTAGAAAAATACACATCTTCCTTGTGGGACCAAACCTCTTCTCTTTGCTTCTCTTCCCTATCTTTGACACTTTTTCATGGATTTTTTTCTTTTAAGGCATGGAGAAATAAATACTGTGCTCAGTTTCGTCAGGCAGTAACTGGAGAGGGAAAATTACCTACATTTCTGGCTTTGGTGAGCTCTGATTTGCTTGTCATATGGGAATTTTGAGACCTCGAGCACATGGGTCTTTTCATCTGTGCAGGAAGATGTCACTGACCTGGCAGAAGCATCTGTTCATCTCACAGGAGCCCTCAGAGAGGAAATACAGACAACAGAGAAAGTGAGGACTTATGGACTTCCTAAAAAAAAGCATCTCCAGCAGGCATGAAGTCTTGTGAATCTGGACTGACCTTCAGCTGTCTAGGTTGTACAATGAAGTTCAGAACACTTGGAGGCAGCTGAGCAAACAGGGTGGTTCTGCACAGCCAAGGACTCCCAGGAGTCTTATCTTTATCCTAAAATGCACCTCTGCTAGTGCCTTGCATCCTTGGCTCTTTGCCATCTCCCCTTTTTGCTTCTTTTCTGATCTTTCTATATGTCTGTCCCCAGTCCTGCTTCTCTATCTACATCTTTTCTGCACAGGAACAGAGAAATTAATGGAGAGAATAATACCCTCTGTCAGGAAGAGGCTGATGTGAATTTTCAGATCATGTTTAGCATTAGGGTTTACAATTTATGGATCACAGCATTAGGGTTATCAAGCAAGTAGGATTTTACTCAGACGGTTGAGGTGTTGAGGGTTCTTATCCTGGGTCCCCACGGTCAGAAGGGCTACAGAAGCTAAGAAAATGCTTCTCGTGTTCAGACTCAATAATCAATTAGATAAGTAGAAGCCCATCATCACCTCTGGTTCCTCGGGGTTGTCTGAGGAACACACAGAACTGCCTGGTAACTGCAGTGGAGGTGGGATGAGGCCAGGGCAGGTGGAGGTGCTGACACCCAGACAGCCCTGGCACACTCCCCTGTTTAAACACTCCATACACATCATCTTCTGCCAGCAACACCTGCCCTGTCACCACCTGGGACACGTGTCCAAGCTGGGCTGTCCTCGGTGACGGCACACGGAGCCTGGACACACACAGCCTCCTGCTGGCGATAAACCTCTGGAGGATACCCAGGAGTGCTGAGCTGGCAAAGGGCTTTTTCACTTGTATTGTTGTATTGGGCACTATTGTACCGAAACAGGACCAGATGGGGCTGAGTACAGTGTCTTTGCTTCTTACTTCACCCCTGAGACAGGGGGCAGCCTGATGCTTACCAAGGGGTTTTTTATTAATTTTTAAGCCTCCTGGGCTGTAAGCAATGAGGACAAGTCCCCCAGCAGCACGTGCTGCCGGGGAGGTGCGTTTTCGAGGTCAGGCAGTTTCATGGCCAGGTAAGCAAGAGGGGATGGCAATGGGGCTTCTCGCTGCACCTCACTGCACACCCCCACACCCACCGCAGAGCTCATCAGCGCTGTCCAAACGCAGCCTGCTCCCCGCAGCAAATGCCCCTGGCACGAGCCCCGTTATGGGTACCTGTGCCTCGCCTTGCAGGCAGGGAACAGCCCCTGGGTGTGCGATCCGCGCATCCCCCTTCCCAGGGCAGGGAACAGCCCCTGGGTGTCCTGTCCGCGCATCCCCCTTCCCAGGGCAGGGAACAGCCCCGGGGTGTCCTGTCCGTGCATCCGCCTTCCCAGGGCAGGGAACAGCCCCGGGGTGTGCGATCCGCGCATCCGCCTTCCCAGGCCAAGGAACAGCCCCGGGGTGTCCTGTCCGCGCATCCCTCGGCCCGCAGCGCATCCCCTCCCGCGGGTCCCCGGCGCCTCCCCCGCCCCGCCCCGGAGCCTCCCCCGCTCCTCCCGGCCCCGCTACGGTCCCGCCCCGCCGGCATTTCCTGCCCCGGGCCCGGGGCGAGGGAGCCTCCGCCTGCTGGAATTTATCCCTGCTTTGTTTTCCCCGCTTTTTTTTTTCCGCCCGGATTGTCCCCCCCCAGCCGATGTAGCCGCCGGAGCGGGGCCGGGGCCGGTCGGTCAGCGCGGCCCGGGGGGCTCCGGCCGGCCCCGGGCACCAGCGGTGAGTACGGACCGGCCTCGCTAACACCGCGCTGGGCTGGGCTGGGCTGGGCTGGGCTGGACCCGCCGCACACCCAACTTGTTGACACCACCGACCTCTGACAGCACCAGGGAGCAGCATCAAGGGGCGAAAAAACTGTAATTTTTAAACTCGGGCATCTCCAAGCTGCAGATAAGAACGCGCCGGTCTCGTAATTCGGCACAAAACGGAGGGGGTTTTTTGCGGTCTGAAGGGGCTGATACAGTGGTAACATCTCCTGTGCCTTTGTTGCAGGAGTGCTGCGGCTCGGCCGGTCATGGAGGGAACCCGGCAGAGCAGGATCTGCCGCCCGCACAAGATCAGCGAATCCTCAAAGGTTCGTACGATTTGTGTTGCTACCAAAAAAATCCAGTTGCAGTAACAATAAGGAGGGGCGGGGGGTGTGGGGGGGTAGAGAGTCTCCTTTGGATGGGCTGATTTTTGGAGGAATGTGAATGTTCTGAGCTTTTAAAAAGAGATATGGAAGCGGTGGTTTACCTGCTCAAATATTTTTG